CAAACAAAAAACACCTCCCAAACAAACAAAAAACACCTCCCAAACAACCAAAAACCACCTCCCAAACAACCAAAAAACTCCCCAAACAACCAAAAAGCTCCAAGCAAACAAAAAACACCTCCCAAACAAACAGAAAACACCTCCCAAAAAAACAGAAAACACCTCCCAAAAAAACAGAAAACACCTCCCAAAAAAACAGAAAACACCTCCCAAAAAAACAGAAAACACCTCCCAAACAAACAAAACAATGCAAGTAAAAATATTTAATTGATGTGCTGTTGATTTCGATACACTCTGGGTAGAAAACTCAAGTAACTGCAGCTTCTTTGGGATAACAAAAGCCACAAAACCCTCCCAACCCCTGAAATGTGCAAAGTGCAGTTTGGCACATGGGAACATTTGTCTTCCTTTGCTCCCAGACTGGGATCACTGGAGTTTCAGTCCATCTTTCAGCCTCCAGTGGCTCGTGGTTTCATGGAAAACAGGAATTTTCCTGGTTTAAGCTTTTCCCCTCTCAGCAGTTTTGTCTTGTCCTGTCACCACAGGAGTGAAAACTTGCTCTGCTCCAACTCCATCCGTGTCCCTCTCCCAGAATCTCTGGGGATCACCTCTTAAAAACAATTTAAACCTCTTCCAACACATGGGACTGCAAGAAAGGAAATTCCCAAACCACAGCTCCGTCCCTCTCCCAGCTCAGGGTCCCGGCCTGAAGTCGGTTTTTAGCTGAATGTTTCTGGAGATGAAAACCAAAGGAAAACCAAGGGGCTCCAGGAAGACATTGCTCAGAAAAACTGGAAAACATTCCCGAAGATTTGAAGTGGAATTACAGTTGTTCAAAAATTTGTATGAACTTTGAGACTTCGTGGTGAGCTGCTGTGCCGAGGGGGAGGTGCCTCAATCCCTGGGAAGGGAAAGGGGAGTTAATTCCTTGGGGAATTTTTAGGATGGTGCAAATAAATGACATTGACATATTTGATACACGAGAGACAGAAATTATATGTTTAAATATCTAACTGGCAAGTGATATAGTTGTCACTGATCTGTTTGTCTTATTTAAATATTTTACTGGAATAAATATACATTAGAAATGTGGTCTAAGATTTTAGAAATGTGGTCTAAGAGATCAGAAATGTGGTCTAAGAGATCAGAAA